GTTCGGAAATTCAACTACCTGGGAAGTTGTATCAGCGCCCTTGGGATCGAAGACGAGATCACGAACCGTATAGCGAAAGCTCGAAGTGATATTGCTAACCTTCGCCACCTATGGCGTCGGTGCGACATTACTCTCGCCTTGAAGGGTGGAGTGTATAATGCAGCGGTACGTTCTACCTTACTGTACGGTTGCGAAACCTGGCCCCTAAGATCGGCGGACATGAAGAGGCTAGTTACGTTCGACCATCGGTGCCTTCGCAGTTTGGCTCACATCTGGTGGGAACACCGCGTGAGTAACGAGCGTGTTCGACGCCTTGTTTACGGCATACGGAAAGGAAATGAACCGCTCAGCACCGTCATTTCACGCACCAGGCTCCGATGCCTGGGCCACGTGTTTCACATGCCAGCCCACCGGCTTCGACGACGTGCGTTGTTTGCTCACCGGGGATGTGGATGGAAGAAGAGGAGGGGTGGCCAAGCGATGACTTGGTCCAGAGGAATGAAGGCCCTCACTTCGGAGCTGGCCTCGGTTGGAGCCTCACGGCTCCGTGGTTGGGGTCCAAAAGACGATGAACACGTTTGGCTGGATACACTTGCTGACATGGCAAGGAGCCGACCTCAGTGGCGTTCCTGCTGTGAGTTTCTTTGTCCCTCCCCATCCCTTTTAGCCTCCCCCTCCATCTACGATCTTATTTCATAGCGTAAAACATAATAGTTTTTCTTTTTGCCTAGTAGCCGGCTGGTAGCTTACTGGAACGATGCCTATCCGTTGCTGGTAGCTCAGCTGGCATGCAACTGTTGTATTTATTTTCCTTTTCTTTTATGTATTGCGGCACAGTAGCTGAGGTGTTTCCCACCTCTAGCTGACGTGTATAATGATGATGATGATGGAGAAGAAGAGGCGAGTGGCAACATCTTCAGACCACACGCAGAAACTGCATTTGAGCACCCAGAGCATGCACAGTCCGTTACGACATAGTCTGTTCTTGTTATCAACGGACTTCAAATCGCAACTTGACGGAAGATGTAGGATTTAGCAGTTGGCCGTCGAGTGGAGGTTCGGCCGTCAACACCTTTCCCAAGGTTCATGTATACCGACTTGGATGGGTTTTCTGGGAGGCGGACTTCTACAGACCACGTGTAAGTTGACTACTTAAGGGACTGGATCAAAATGCTCAATATACAAAGGTCTGGATCCATGAGGTTTACTTGGTGAAAATTCAAGTAATGAGGAAAAAAGCGATCAACTTAAAGTGGTGGTCAAAATATGGGGATAGCCAAATTCGTTTTTTTTTTACTGTAAGTTGTCACAACTAGGCTCACTGTTCCACATCACCAGCGCAGCTCCGTATCGAATTTGTCTCAGTGCTTGGTCTACTTGATACGGAATACAGAGACCGTAAAATTTGATGTGAGATATGCTTAAAACTACGATAGTGTGGATGTCATTGATTTATTCTGAAGCGGTTTCACGCTGCTCAACCACTGAGATACTCAAAATATGGAAGCCAGAACGATTGCCGACACTACTGACGGAGTTCTTTGGATGTGCAATACTTTTGGCCAATCATCCCGAGAGATCGGTTGCTTTTGGAAGTTTCCCATCCATAGTGTGATGTACGAAGTTTGCTCAGTGAAGTCCATGCAGGAACCTCTTATTTACAAAGAGAGTGGATCAGATCTGATTTGGGAGTACGATTTTAGAGTTTCGAGGGGATCCACTCTGGTCAAACCGCGCTCAGCTCCAGCAGGTTTAGGTTGGTTGGTCTGCGTTTTTTGATTGTACTACTACCGCATGGTAAAAGCTCAAGGCACCTTTGCCAATCTCTGCCAACCGTAGCGCCCTGAAGGACAGAGTTTATAATGCAGCCGTCCGCTCAACCCTCCTGTACGGTTGCGAAACCTGACCCATCAATTCGACAGACATAGAGATGCTAGTTACGTTCGACCATCGCTGCCTCGCAGCTTAACTCATGTCTGGTGGGAACACCGTGTGAGTGATGAGCGTGTTCGGCGTCGCATATTTGGTGCAGGAAGGGCAAGTGAGCCGCTCAGCACCGTTATTTCAAGCACCAGACTCAGATGGCTGGGCCACGTGTTGCGCATGTCAGCTCATAGACCCCCGCATCGTGCGTTGTTGCGCGGCTGGGGTCTGGATGGAAGAAAAGGAGGGGAGGCCAAGCGATGACTTGGTCAAAAGGAATGAAGTCGCTCACTTCGAACTTATCGTCGGTTGGTATCTCCCAACTGCCGGACTGGGGATCGAAGGACGTTGAGCACGTTTGGTTGGATACACTAGCTGACAGCAAGGATCCGACCTCAATGGCGTTTGTTTTGTAATTTTCCTTGTCCCTTCCCATCCCGGTTATCTTCCTCTTCTAAGTACTATCTCAGTCTTGTAGTTACTAACCAGTTTGTTACCTGTCTTTTTGTAACATGTAATGTTTCCTATCTCTCTTCCGTATATGTTATCTTTTTGTATTGCGGCACAATCGTTGTAGTGTTTCCCATCTTCAACTGATGTGTAATAGTGATGATGATGACGTGCCTTCCACTCTCACTGGATCTCGGACAGTTGTATCCTGCTGAGATCATTCCCTTACTGTGATGACCCAACGACCGATGCGGTGTGGTTTGTCTGCGTACAAAGCCGGGGATTTTGTTGTCGTACAAGTGCACTATGTGCTAGTTGAACGATTGTAGCCTGCGCGCACACTAAGTATATGAAAGCATATATGAGAAGCATATCGCTCGCATTTACTCCGCGACTCTCAATTGAACCGAAAAACGAATTACACTGTTTCGTGAGTGTTCACTTACAACTACGCAAGTGTTGTCGTGCGTTAGGTTGCGTCAGTTAAATTGAAAACGCCCTGATACACCGTACTCCTCGGGTAGGGCGGTGCAAAATTCCCGGAACTGATGCGTTTACCCTCTGAAGTTATGGGGAAATGTGGCTTGTCACAATTCGCTCTCCTTTTTCTCTTCAGCGTTCGCATTGGTGGTTAGATATAAATTCCTAACGTTGTAGTTATCGTGGCTTCATTCCGACTCCGCCTGCTCTCGTTGCTTTTTGTTAACACAGTTGTTATGCGATTGGATTTAGTATGATCTCTACTCCGGTCACTGCGACATTGCGTTCACGTGGACTTTTTTAAAAAATCTTCCTCCTACCAATCGGTTCTCGCCATGGCAATCCATTAGCGCTTACAATCCCCGCATCGTATCATTCACTTTTGTTCTCTTACGGGCTACGTTCTAGCCATCAGCTCGTTTTTGATATATATTTAAATGTTTTATTTTCGACACAACGCGGGACACGACCGCATAGACATGATCATAGTGATACAATCTGTTTAGCACCGGAAAATGTAAATAGCGGTAAAAGTTTATCCGTAGCAGCAGGATCGTTGTGATAGGTGTATATGAATTTTTGTACGCTGTATAACTGTATTACTTGGATGTATACATGTAACGCCGTATTTGTGATTTTAAGCAATTAGTTCCCTTCAACAATTTGAAAAGCACGGAAAGAAGACGAAGGCTGGTAGGTGGCATACATTTCATATTCTCTCCTCAGTACCATTATCAATAATCGATGTGCATATATGAAGCTAACAGTGGGTGCAACCAGACAAGCTTGAGGTGCAAAACGAATGACGGAACTTCACACCTATGTCCAAGGCAGTTTTAGGTTGACAAACAACTGTTTCTGAACACACTAAGCTGGCTCCATCCGGCTTATAGCGACAGCCTCAGCAAACCGAAGGAAGCGGGGATTAATGTGATATAAAACAACTTTAAACGCTGAGCCCAGCTCTATCTGGTGACCCGAGTCTAATAGGTGTTTGCCTATCGAGGAATCCAGTGGTCTGCGCGAACAGGGAATCTGACGAGGGTAGGTACTCTGAGCAACTTCACGTTGGTACATGTTCCTTTATTCTGGAAATCAGTGTTCTATTAGTTCTGCCTATGTAAGTGTTTCCGCAGTCACATACAAATTGGTATACACAGTGTGAGTTGGCCCCAATAGGCTGAGCTTCCTTCGTTGGAGGTATGGGCAAATTTCGGGTTCGGTTGATGACGAGAACTGGTACAGTATAGTAACTTCCTTGTGTAGCCGAAATTATACGCTTAGTTGTCTTCAGCGTGGCTAAATCACCTTTGAAAGGTAACTCGATATACACTTTCTTCTTGGCTGCCATGTGCACCAAGTCCTTTGGCCCTCGCGGTTGGCTGTGTTTCTCGATAAATCTTCGAGGGTAGCCGTTCGCCATTAGTGTCAGCCTAAAGCTGCCTTGGACGTAGGTGTGAACTTCCGTCATTCGTTATGCATCTTAAGCTTGTCTGGTTGCACCCACTGTTAGCTATGTCGATGTATATCAGTTATTGTTAATGGTACTGAAGAGAATATGAAATGCATGCATCTACCAGCCTTCGTCTTCTTTCCGTGCTTTTCATATTTGTAACTGTTTTAGTCGGATAGTCAGCTTGAGGAGGGGTGGATGAACGTCTTCGTATTGGACGACTGATGTCTGTGGACTGGGTAAGATCATCCGGATATGTAAGAGACAGTGACTTTAGTTAGTGGCGAGTCACATTCGCTACTTCGCAGTGTTGCTAGACGGACATTTGTGGCTTTTTTGAGTGGAGAACGCCTGCGACGCAGAAAAACCCAACACGTCCTAGAACACTGTCACCGAACCATTCGCTGGAAGGAGATTAACCCGAATCACCCAGCTGCCACCACGAGGAGGTTGTTCGGCGAGCCATCCAATGTTTTTTTCGAGCTTGTTTCTCGTTTACGCTTACTCTGCGCCAATGCAAATCTGTCTACTTATGATTGAGAAGTACACTATTAAACTTCCTCTAATCACATCTGTCCACTAATTTCTACCCATCCGCTTTCACATGATTATGGAGCGCCAGTCTATCCATCACTCAATGCCTTTTGTGTATTGAATAATCCCCATCCGCGAATACTGGATGTCTCTTTTTCAGCTTGAACATCTGTTAGGTCAATACGGCATTATCTGCATTAGCAGACCCGGATGCGATGTGTCCAGGCTAATCTCCGATTCTGAACTGTTGAGGAAGTATAAAGTGAGTGTAACCTCCTTTGTCCGGCAGGTTGCTACATCTGAATTGCCTCTCTCCTTGATCGATATTTCGGTGATTTGTTTACTAGTGTGCGTACAAGAGGGGAATGTCCACCTGTCTACCAAGCAATTGTCGAGGATGCTTTGGGCGTCTGATATTTGCAACGGTCTCCGATTAGCTGTTCGAAAGGATAAGGCTTGTGTGCTGTACGTGTTTTAATTACAAATCATAGTAGCATTCTTCTGACGAACTAATAAGATTACTCTGCAGTGTTCCGAGTGAACGACTGGATTTCGGTAACCGATCGAATCATTAACAGGCACTCCTAACAATAATGTTAATTTTATTTGAAACAAAGAATAACTTAGCCACTCACCACTGCGCCAGTAAGTTGGGTTGTGTTCTCCACATGTCTGTTGATTGACGATCCTAGCAAAAAATTATTCTGTGTTTGCACCCGAATGGATGGGGTGCTATAGCGAAAAACTGATAGAATGGCATAAAGTCTTGGAGAAAATGGTCAAGCGACTTGTCTGGGTCGATGCATGCATTGCTATTTCACGCAGCCCTTGAAATCGACTGCATAAATTGTCAACGAAGTTATTTGTGCACATGGCTCGGTCAGTGGCGTATTGTCTCCTGACTCTTGCTTTTAGCCTCTTCTGCCTACTGATATCTTTTCGGTCTATTTCCAGTTGTATGTCTCCGTTACTCTTTTATCTAATCACTGACCTACTCGAGTTAGGTTACCCGTGCCTGTTCGCCGAGCTTCGCAAACGTTTCGACGACCAAGTCAGCGGATTACATTTGACCCAGCAGCACACTGAGGAAGTCACCTCGCGTGGTGCTGAAACATTTGCATAGCATTTACGAAGCTCGGCTAACAGTTGAACCCAGGAACGATCAAAGCGGGCTGCCAGTACATCAAGTCATTTTAGGTTACCCGTGATTTGGTGCTCCAATCCCTGCTATTTAACGCAGTCGACAATCGGAACTGATCACTACCATGAAAGCACTGGCCAACGGTCAAATGGGCTTGATTGTTGTTTGTTTAACTCCTGTTTGTTTGTTTACTCCTGTTCCAATTTTGATCCCAGTATAATTTTGTTTCGAACAGCGTTTAATACTACGCAACCTGTTTCATCTCGGGTCTTACAGTGACTTCCGTATGGGGCCGTTTGAGCGGTGCACAAACACCAGCTGTAGGCTTCACAGTGACTGCAGCGTGTTGCCGTGCTTTACGCACGCAGCCATCAGCTGAAGTGCATTTTGTGTGCATTGATTGTCACAGTATACACGGCTGGGGATATCCAGTTAGTGTGACTACGGACAGCCCTACTTACAGGGGAACCATAGATGGATCTGCACAGCATCATCCGCATACCCCGTGCAGTGTAGATCCGAATAAGACAACAAAATGTGCGAACAGTGGCCAAGAGAGATTTAACACACACATCACTGGAATAAGTTTTGCATAAACATGCGTACATGACGGTGAAGAGATCATAACCCATTCCATGATGGAACTACTCTGATTTATTGACTGACTGTATCTGATCACACCGATGTTTGCAAGTATTGCTCATCCCTGATGCCTGTACTGTGAGCAACACAGAGGTCCATCACTTAGTGTTTGGCAGTAGGCCATCAGCTTTCGTATTGGAGTGCCTGTTGAACTCGAATTGCTCTCGGTTGCGTGCTTTCTACACCTCCAAACTCAATGCCTCGGTGTGCGTTTCTCATCGAATATTCAATCAGTCAGAGTCGCCAGTTTCTCCATCGGCCAATGATCTCTCTACCCCCTGGGTTGTCACGCTGGATCCGCCCACACGCGCAGGAATCGAGAGTGAGATCGGACGGCTGAAATTGAACAAGACCGCCGGAGCAGATGGACTTCATCCTGCTCTCTTCAAATTTGGGGCCCTGCTTTTTTGGACGATTTACGCGACTTATTAGTAAATCTATGGAAGCAGGAGACTATCCCAACAGACTGGAGCTACTCCATTATAGTCCCACTTTTAGAGGGAGGCTTTCGTTCGGAATGCTGGAACCATAAAGGGATCAGTCTGATCTCAATTGCCTCTAAGTTACTTACCTCCGTCCTCCTCCATAAACTAACTGCCACCTGTGAAAGCCAGGTACGCGAGGAGCAGACCGGTTTTCGTCGAAATCGAGGCAGCAATGACCACATCTTCACATTGCGGCAATTGTTGGAGCACCGCTATGTTTATTAGCGAACCCCGTAGTCTTGTACTTAGACATCAAAGAGACTTTCGATTCGGTTAATCGATATGCCTTTTGGAGCTGTCTAATGAGGAAAAGTGTGCCCGAGAAGCGTCATAAGAACGCTGTATGCGCATAGTTCGAACAGAGTGAGGATTTACGGCAAGCTTTCATCACCCTTCAATATCTCCAGCGATGCGAGACAAGACTATTAACATTGCTCTTTAACTTCACCATTGACGAAGTCATGAAAACGGCGTTTGCCGGGCACGACTTAGAAGGCATAGAACTGCTCCCAGGTGAACGACTTATCGACTTGGAGTATGCAGACGACATTGCGGTCATCTGCTACGGCTCACAAACGTGCCAAGCTGCACTGGATAAATTATCTCTGTCTGTCAGTCGTTTCGGGCTATGTTTTGCACTCTCAAAATACAGTCCTACACCAAACTTGACAGGGACCCACTCCTGCACTGACCCTTGGCGACGATCAGGTATTAGTCGTCCATTAATTTAAGTACCTGGGCAGCTATATTAGTGCCCTTGGGATTGAAGATGAGGTCACGAACCGTATGGCGAAAGTTCGGGGTGCTTTTGCCAATCTCCGCCACCTGTGACTTCCCACTTGCTCTGAAGGTCAGAGTTTATAATGCAGCCGTCCGCTCAACCCTCCTGTACGGTTGCGAAACCTGACCCATCAACTCGATAGACATAATGATGCTAGTTACGTTCGACCATCGCTGCCTCCCAGCTTAGCTCACATCTGGTGGGAACACCGTGTGAGTGGTGAGCGTGTTCGGCGTCGCATATTTGGTGTAGGAAGGGTGAGTGAGCCGATCAGCACCGTTATATCACGCAACAGACTCGGATGGCTAGACAACGTGTTGCGCGTGTCAGCTCATAGACCCCCGCATCGTGCGTTGTTTGCGCGGCTGGGGTCTGGATGGAAGAAGAGGAGGGGAGGCCAAGCGATGACTTGGTCAAAAGAAATGAAGTCACTTCGAACTCGGCGTCGTTTGGTGTTTCCAGACTTTCGGAATTGGGTCCGATGGTCGATGTACACGTTTGGTTGGATAAACTAGCTGACATGGCGAGGAGCCGACCTCAATGCCGTTTACGCTGTGATCTTCATTGTCCCTTCCCTTTAGATTCCACTTCCAACAACAATCTCAACCCAATGCATAATGCGAATTTAGCATTATGTTACCTTTTTGGCTCTTCTACTCTGTAATGTTGCACCTCTTATCGTTTTTGTATTACGGCGCATTAGCTGAGGTGTATTTCTCACCCTCGACTAACGTGTATTAACGATGATTATGATGTGTTTCTTATCATTGCTACTCCTTGTATGATCAAACCCAGAGATCGCCAATCAAAGAGATGTGGCAAAAGAGTGGAGAATCTCACCAAAAGGCGAGTTGGGTCGGTACTTTTCCGTCTTCCTGATTTCGATTCTCAGTACCGGACTCTTCAGTCGTTGGGGTCATTGGCGCCCTTGCATTCGTTCTGTCATCTCGGATTTCTGTCGACCGAGTGCAGTCCACAAGTCGCCAGTCCGACTCTGCTTAGGTGCTGGCAACCCCTCACGCCCGACTGGCTGTGGTCTCGTGACAGCGAATCGTCCGTACGCTGTACCGGCGTACTGCTGTACCTGTCATTTTTCCGACTCTTGACAATTCCACCTTGATGACATTGACTTTTGTTCATTCCTATGAAATTGTTACTATTGCTTTGGCAATGTGTATCGAAGCAACGTGATCCACCGCGCTTTTCGGTGCGCAAATCACAAATGAGTAACTGAAGCAAACTGGTGCTCATTTCTTGGCGTGTCTACGGGCTATGCAGAGTCACACCTGGCTCTTTCCGTAATGAATTTCATGGCGTTGCTTTTCCTTTGGCATAATGGTGCTTGTGGGGACTGTTGCATTTGCGTTCATGCGTAGCGTAGAATATCTGTGGTAGTGTTAAGTGTGGCCCGTAACCCATAGACAAAACAGAACACGCAGGCGTAGTATGGAACCGTTTAATGAAAGCTTCCTACGTTACAGTGGTTAGAAATGCCGAAACGGAAAACCAATGAAATAAGGAAGGTACAGCAAGGTCATTGTCAACCAATCATGTGAGCGCCTATGTTCACGATATATACCAACTGCATACTTGGCAGTTAGTAATACACATCCGTTGACTTTGAAATAGTGTGATGCCACTTTATCAGTTTATTTCCTCCGCGGTTACATCATACTTGGATAGTAAAGCTTTCCGAAATTCCCGTTGCAGAGCAACATTACTCTGGTGCAAGAATGGTTCGAAAACAACCTCAGCTCTTCTTTGGTCCGACGGAGCCTCAAGTTGGGTCAATCGGTGCTTCATCTCGTCCCACAAAGTGTGCTTGAAAGGATTTATGCTCTCAAACTATACGGTGCGCAAAGGCGGCAACACTGTTCCTTCCAAGCCAAGAATCAGTGCTGTGCGGTGGCGCCCTGTTCTCCCGCCACTCACAGATCTTCAAACTCACAACCTCATACAATCACCACTACTACCACTGTGGAAGACACAAGTTCACTGTCGTAATCCTTGCTAAAGTGAGTAAGATTGTTTGTCGTATTTACAGATAGCTACTTATGCAGCTACTGTTGCGGTGTGGTCTAATCCGATTTCCCTCGTTCATTCGAGTCCGTATGCCTGTCGGACTGTGGTACCGTGGCCAATCTCCGAATAGGCAAAACGCCTAGTCGCACAAATCTATCGTTAGCACTAACTCCACATCAGTTTGACCAATACAGTAGTGGATCCATTGTCAGAACCATGTGATCCACTGAGCATTCGAACGAAAACTAACGATCATTTTATCAATTAAAGTCACTGGCGCAGCATTTTCAGCTGTCACGTTGCTGAGGATTATGCCGCTCAATTCGTGCACCATAAGGTCCATCGATTCAAATCGCGCATGGGAATGTGAGTTTTTGAAAACATTGTTGATCCATTTTAAGTACTCATGTGTGTTGATGCATTGCGATACACAGTTCCAACGTGGACACGTGTTGCCCACGGAAGAGCTAAGCTAAAGGCATCAAGTGGCGACCTCTACATCCCGGGATTGAGTCACAGTTCTATTATATCGGTGAAGTGCAATTTTGCACGTAATACTTATCTGCCCCGTTCATAGTGCACTCTCCCTACTTCAATAAAAATGAGTAGACCAATTGAGAGTTTGGCATTTGGACAAGTGGTCTTCTAGTGTGACCGAACCGCGACGCGAAATGGCGACCAAGGATTTACGAGTAGGTTCTTCAAGTCTAGACAGTCATACACGTAGACCTATATCCGGTTACCTTGGCGATATGAGCCGCGTCTACCAAGGGCATAACAACGTAAGCATAGAACATTTTTTTAAAGAATGAGAGTTCGACACGGTTCCTTAAAAGCGGTTCCGGTTGAACCAATCCTCCGCGCAAGTAATAATCCCAGCCAAAACCAGAAGTCAGTGGCTCGTCGCAAAAGGGTATTCCAGGATTAGTCACCGAAATAGCACAAATAGTGTAAAAAAAAAGAAAGACAATGGTTACTTATTGCGAGTGGAGAAAGTAGAAATGTTCACACTTATGACAACTAATTCAGGTGCCAAAACAATTAGTTCTGAACCGGGCCAACCAATGGTGAGGTGTATACGTGGGTAGCATGACGCCATTAATTTTTCCTAAAGCGTCTTGATATCTCTGTTGTACACTACTTGTTCATTTCGTTTCATCATAGAAACAATGGACTTCCTTGAGAGCTCTAACTTACTCCCGGGTTAAACATTCTACAGGTAGGCGGGGAAGCGAATAATAAAGCTTTTGTCATTGTATATCGTATCACAATTTGAGGCCTACTGCCCACATATTGTTCACTGAACGATTTCCAACGGTACATGTGGCCGACCGACGCAAACGTCGCAATGATAATCGTCTAATGAAGTGAAACTTAACAACACGATCGTTTTCAATGATGTGAGCAGTGCACCCAGCTGCACCACAGGCAGCATACTTGCTTACGGGGATGCTTCGTGAATCACGTTGCTGTTCGGATCTAAGTGGTGTCTCGAAATTAAAAATAGGGGTAACATGCTGCTCTAGTTTTTGATACTTGTTCTGTTTCCATGTTATGGTAATCAGTCTTATTTGGTAATTTGATTACTTTACTCTTACTATATGTATGAACCGAAGCGCCTTAATTTGTTTTTTTGTTGTTGTCCTAGACGCTTAGTCGAATCATTTCATATCATCTCCGTTTCAGGGCAGAACACGTTTTCCTGCCAGTTTGTTACCCGACGTCCTCAATCGTGCAATTGGCAGCCCCCCCCCTATTTTTCTACCTTTGTTAAACTAGATTGTAACTCTCCGCCCGCTTTTAGTGATTACATAATCGTATGTTCTGTATACAAGTATACCAAATCTGTCCGACTTCTTTTCTCTACAGCTATCTGATCTACTCTCGAGCGATTTCGTGACAACTTAATCCAAGACACGATGTGCCGCAGCAGCTTGCAAGTGGAAGAACGACTTGGTCAGCCTTCGCCACCGAGAAGGGGTTTTCCGTGCATCAGTTACCGTTTTGTTTATCTTTGCTCCAGCTTCAAGCCCAGCTCGCGATAATGGATGTGGTCCAGTATCGGTGTATTCCGCTCTGGAAAGATGTATGCAGTATTGTAGATAAGGACAAACATTCTCTCCAGGCATTTGACACCATGTGGCTGTTTTACTATTCTTCCGGGTCAGTTGTTTACCTCCGCATTTATTCAGACACATATATTATTTATAAAGACCGAAGTGAAGTGATATGCCGGTAAGCGTCCATCTCAGGTATGGCGGAACATCAATTAGACGAAAGTTTTTCCCATTGGATGGCTTCAAAGTAAAGCTGCTCGGACAACCGCAATGCGCGTGATCCTACGTAATCGTGTGCCGTTTCTTTTGTCGTATGTTTATTCAGGTTGCTGGGTGTCCGCCTAACTTCGTCGTTGCTAGCGGTTCAGTGTAAACAGAAGACCAGTATTCGGGATCCCGAGCGCAGCAGCAAGCTCAGCTGCAATGGTTAAGATTTTAAGGAAAGGGGGATTACACAGTCTGTCAGAACTGTAGAATGGTGTGTCATTCCGCCGGTAGAACGAGTCTCAGCTGCATGTGTGCAACGCAACTTCAGAACCAAATGGGTGTCAAGAATCGGTAGCCGATTCTAGACATCGATGACAAATTTCACTGACGGAGTGTTGTAAACAACACGAATGACTAATGGGGTTTGCAGTGCCACTTATACGCTTGCTTGCTACTGGTGCTCACAGCTCGTGAAGCGTCAACATTGATCTGGGTTACAGCGTCGGTTGTCATTGGCTAACAAGTGGAACCAACCTAATGCTAGTTGAAAGTGCCCCCAGTGGTTGGCGCCATCCGGTTCCGGATTTGCCTGTCAATGTGGCCAGCCACAGGACGCCTGCGCCTACAGTGGGACCATGGGTGGCTTGCGCTGCACCACCCACAGCTCCATCCACACACCCCATATCCAGTGTAAACCCAAAGGAATAAGACCTGGAGACATGTGGATGGGAGCCACGTTTCATCAACGGAGCCGGCCCCCACTCCTTTACAGGGAAACACAAGCACGCTGTATTTGGGGGATCAAGCGCACATAAGGCGGTGGCTGGAACGTGGTCCGCTCCACACTGAGTGCATGTAATTACTCTTTGAGTCTAACACGGCCACAAGGGCCGTGCACCTCGACCCCTCCAGCAAAGGCCAAGGACTTCCTGGAGCCAGTATGGACGAGGTAGCGGGTAATAGACAGGTAGGCACCTTGTCAACATGCACACCAAGCGCAGCCACACCTAAAATATCAAGCAACAGCCAATCAGTTGCAATGATATTATCAAATAAAATATATCTGTTAAAGCATACGGCTATGCCGACATAGCAATTCGTTAGACTAGCACATGAAGTAAGTTGATCAGCAACGAATCCGCGATAAGTACAAAATGTTCGGAATTTATTCAAAAATGCTACTATCGCGATAAAGTTAACGAGGATAACCACAATTAGCATAAGAAAGGTGTGCAAGTTAAAATAAATAGGTTGGACAAACCAAATGCAGTGGAATAGAATTAGTCAAGCTTAAAAAGACCTGGATTAAGTGTATGTTGGTTTAGCCTAAATGCGGTGAAGAAGCATCAGGAATGTAACATCAGCCTCATCATGGGGCACATTATATATAGTGCATGATTTTGGAAGATGCTATTGTCGATTCTGAAGCTCAGTCGAAAGTCCATGCAACCGTTAAAGAGTTGAAACAACTATTGGATTCGGTTGAAACAGTTGAGTCTTAACTCTTACTAAATTTTTTTGGATCTATGCCTTGATTACACGAATAATCCGCAGGGATTTCTTTTGGCTGCATTGTCTCGCTGCTATGCTGTCAACTTGTTTTTTTCACCGGGAATTGCGACCACTCTAAATTTCCGACCCAGTCGAAGGATGATGCTCGATTGTATAGGTGTATGTATGCATGGTGCGCTGAGGCTGGTGGTGGCTAGATCCTGACAAATGGTCTACCCACTGCTGCTACTGTTGCGCCATAGTCTCATGTCCTGGGCGCCTCCACGTGGCGACCGCTGGGTGGGAGTTGGGTTTCGCCCTTCTCCCTGCTAAGATCCAGGACACCAATCCGCATGAGTCGGCTAACTGACCATGTGCTAGACCCGCTGCCTTTCGGGTGTATATTTAATCGAAGGCTTTGGCTGAGGACCCGAGTCGTTCTCCTGTCAGGATTGGGAGGAGGTGCCTCCTGAGTTGAAGGATGTTCTTGTGCTACCACTGTACAAGGGCAAGGGAGTAAGCAGTGTTGCACGAATTGTGGGCAATGTGATTGCCCGAATCCTGCTCAACTGCCTCGTTAGTCAAGTTGTGGAATTGAACGTGGGTGATGAGCAATGTGGATTCCGTTCGAGTCGCTGCAACATAGATATGGTATTTGCGGCCTGTCAGTTGCAGAAGTGCAGAAAACTACACCAACCGTTGTATTCGCTGTTTGTGGATTTCACCAAGGCATTTGATACGGTGAACCGCGAGACATTTAGTTGGTGTTGGGTAAGTTTGGTTGTCCGCGTAAATTTAATTGAATGTCTGCACAGTGGTATTCGAGCGAGGGATGCGGCTGAGTAGACAGACCTCGGATGACTCTGGTGTGAAGCAAGGCTGTGTCTTAACTCCTGCCCTGTTTAATATTTACCTTCATGCCATGATGTCTTGTGCTTTTGATGCGGCTTGTGCCTACGCTATTCGTGTGCAGCACCGTATTGATGGTGGGTTGCTGAACATCCTTCATTTCGGTGCGAGAACTCTAGTCTGTAAGACAACTATCCGTATGTTGCTGATGACTGTGCCTTGTTTGCGCACAGCGCAGATGAGTTGCAACACATGACTTTGGCTGTCACTTCAACAGCGGCCAAATTTGGGCTCACCATCAACGCAAGTAAGACTGTTTGTCTTTACCAGCCTTCACCCGGAGTGGAGTCCATGGGCATGCCCCATAACCAAGTTGCCGATGAAGTGTTGGAAATCACTCCAAGATTTGGTAGCTTAGTAACAACCGGTTTATTTTGTTATTCTCATTTCAGGTGATTGACTGTTGCTTAATATCCCCCGGCGTGGCTGCGCTTTATGTGCATGTTGGCGAGGTGCATACCTGTCTAACACCCACTGTGAAAAGTCGGTCCTTCAGGGACAAAACGTATATTCTGCAAACAAAAGGACCAGGCGAAAACGCAGGCAGAGGGCGAGTGAAACATATCGGTATATACAGCTAGTTGGATCCATAATTAACGACCTTTGTGAATGCATGACATTTTTCCTTTGATTCAGTCAAACAAACTCACTCCAATGCGTCCAACTGTTGGCCAATCAGCGTGCATGCGAGAAACGTGTGAACGTCCAATCAGCTGCCGCCTTTCCTTGCGGCAGCCTAACGGCTTCCTTGCTGGGCTGGCACTGCACGTTCGTTCGAGTGTATACTCCCATCACATCCTCCCCTTTTTCATGTTCTTGCTGCTGTACTTTGCTAAATAGTCCATACACTTCACCACTCCGCGTCCTCTTTGTTGGATCTGCCGATGTCGCCTTATTGCCGCACGCAGTATAACGCTCTCTCCCTGATTCATGCTGTCGCCTCGGACATCTCCTCAGCTGTACTCGGTTTCTTCTCAGCTTCTTCCCTCCAACATTTACTTCGTATGACCTTTCACCGACTTTCGCAGCCACGACTCCTTTTCTCCACCGCTCCTGTCCATCGGGAATTGGTTCAACCCATACTTCTTCCCCCACTGTCAGCTCAGGTAATTCCCGTGCGCCGTTGTCGTAGTACCGTTTCTGAGTAGCCATTCGCCTTTTCAAACTGTTCTGTACTTTCTCAAGTTGTGGCGTGACAGGGCGCAGAAGTGTTGCGGATGCAGGCATCACAGTTCTGGTCCTTCGACTGTATAGGCGCTGCACTGGGCTCAGGCCGATATCCGTTGAAGGAGTGTTGCGACTCTCCAGTAGCATGAGGTATAGGTCCTCCCGAGTATCTCTAGCCTTCGCTAATAGTCGCTTGGCTTGCTTCACTGCCGACTCTGCCTTCCCATTTGATTGACTGTGAAAGGGACTGGTTTGCCGGTGTGCGAATTCCCATTTGGTTGCGAAAGCCTGGAATGCCCTGCTGCTGAACTGGGGACCGTTGTCCGAGACTAGCTCCTCCGGTATCCCGTGCCGTGCGAATTGACATCTGAGTTTGTTGATTACTGCCTCCGTAGTCGTGGTGGTGAGTAAATCGATTTCAAAGTAATCACTATAGTAGTCCACCGTGAGTAAGTAATCCTTTCCGTTGTCCCAGAATAGATCCACTGCTATCTTTTGCCACGGTCGGTCCGGAACATCATGCAGCATCATCGGTTCCTTCGTTTGCCGAATGTCGTGTGAACGGCACGCCTCATAGTTAGACACATGATCCTTGATCTGACCTGTCATTTCTGACCAGAACATCAGTTCTCTTGCTCGATTTATGGTGTAATTTGCACCCAGGTGAGCGCGATGGACATGCTCCAGCATCTCCTTTCGGAGAGAAGAAGGGATTAGGATTCGACTTCCCTTGAACAACAGACCGTCACAGACAATGAGTTCGTCCCGAAAATTGAAGTAGGGTGTTAATTCCTTCGGGAGCTGCTTCTTTGTTTTTGGCCACCCATTGAGGATAACGTCTCGCAAAGCTGCAAAAATTTGGTCTTCCTCCGTGAAACGCCTTATGTCTTTCAAACGGTTTTCTGTCACTGCCAGATGCTGCACCATGCTAACTGTCTCGATCTCTCCTAGATGATGTTCGGCCACTGGCGGATGTGTTC